ATTTTTCGTTGCAAAAAGCTAGAAATTTGCCATATTTTTCTTTTTTCACGAGTACACATTCTAGGTTATATAATTAGACATTATTTGAATAACAGCTGATTATTGCATTTCAAAACTCACGGATACATGTGTGGGATCCGTCAACCCTTGGTCCCAATCACAAAACATATACACTGAAAAAGGTTTAATTCCATGCTATTCAATGACAACACGGTGACTTGTGTGGTTGTCAGCGGCCATTTTTAGAAGGTGCGACATGGTTGCCAGATTGTGCATTAATATCCCGTTTCACCCAACTGGTCCCAGTGGAGTACGCTCCGCCAACTGCTGAAATATACTCTACTATGCTTTATAAGACTATTCGCGGAATTTTTCCCAAAATCGTTGCACAACACTTGAAAAAATGCAAATGAAAATTTAAAATTATTTCCAAGACGCCCCAAAATAGCTGCGTCGGTACCTCGGGTGATACATCTTGACAGTAGGGATGTTCGATACGATCCTATATTTAGAAGCATCCATACCTTTGCTTTCCATACCCGATATTTTTTTCCTTCAAAGTAAGAAGATTTTGACGTGAGTAGTAATTTGTGAACAAAAACTGAATGATGATAATTAACCATGTCATTAATTTTTAACCAGTTTAGAACTCGATATTCCGCTTATATGAATCTACCCAAGCCAAAGATGAAACCTATAAAATTGTTTTGGTTAACGTTTTTGGTGAAAATGTCTGAACATGTGAGTATGCGATATTACAATAATTTATTATTATTAGATATGACCAATGTTTCACATACCTAGTTTTTATGCGGCTTAAAATTTAGTAAATACCTGTTTGATATAAAAGTAGCCTTAGATAGGTTTTCTGTGAAAGACGATTAACATGCTCAATAAACTTTAATTTTGTGTAAAAACAACACCAAGAATTTTGCAGAATCAGAAAATTTCGTTACTTATCTAAATCTTTGAGAGCTGTGTTACATTGGGCGCCAAATATTGGTATCATAGATTTTTTGAATCAATAAATTATGATTTGAACTTATATAGTACGAAATAATATTTAAGCTTACATGTTTACATCTTTAACTTTATCGGCTGATAGCGTTGGTGGGAGATACGAATAATTTGAATTAGTTCTCCTCCAAGAACAAACATCATTCACGGTTTTCTTCCAACAAACTAGCAAATGGGAACAAACTGTCATTCTTGAAAATGAAAGTGATGCACATGCAATAATGTCTAGGCAGAGAATTCTCCATTTCTTTACCTGCCCTACTTTTGGATGACCCTGTATGTACGGCATCTCCTTCTCTGTGTGTGCCTCGCTAAGTAGCAGATGTGTCAATTCGGATCCAATCAGTGCATAATAGTGAAGCGGTAATGGAATCAGTCCTTGGTCTATTTGCCGAGTTGGCGGTGAGGGAAAGGGAGGGAAGGGAAAGGGGCTTACGGTCACCGCAGCCACTTGCCTCAGGCCCTGAAGGGCCTCTCACAACTGCTCCGCAAGCACACGAGATGACGTAATCGTGTTTGGTGGAGACCCGGCGTGCTGTGGGGCATGCGGAAAGGGAATTGCTACCGGACTGATTCGGTTTTTATGGAGAAAAGGATGCAATACAGGCGATTTAACGGAGTGTAATTTCTTACCTCTGATCAAATCTAATTTCTGAACAGGAGTATTTTGAGTTTTGGATCAGATGTGTACCTAAAGTCACCTTAATCTTGCTGCTAGATCAAAGATGATATGGATTTAACTAGATTAGGCATTAGGGTTGGGGTACAAGCCTGAAGTCACAGCGACTGATATAGATAAGGCATTATATTTTACGTTCTACGCCACTGGTTGATGAAGTATTATCTTGGGAAAAAATTTGAGAATGACATATAATGGTTTTTGTATTTCCATCGCTCTGTTAGTCACACATTATAGATTCTCCCGTACATTTGGGCTTAAAACTTGTAACGATAGAGAAATGTCTTACTCCTATCCAAGATCACCGCCAGGCGTACTGACTACGCACAACGTATTCACGGAAAGAACGATAATTCCCTGCAGCGGCGCCGCGGTGGGCGGTGCCATGTAGACGTGGAAAGGGACAACGTTGGCAGATGAACAGTAACTACCCGTTGGTCGGGGGAAAAATATTTGTGGACTAATTGTATGACCCTGTTTGACTGGCTTGATCCCTTTAATCTCTCTGTCGTACATGTTCGTAACTGACTTTTTTTATAAAGGATTTACATTGCATAGAACTTAATTCTTTATGCACTGATGACGGGGCTGGAAGGACAACTCACTTGACTCCACTTTTTTAATCTGTTATCCCAAATACCTGACATCTAACGACAAAGATGACATATTATTTTACCCCAGATTGATAAAACAATGACTCAGGCACGTTCATTATCAGTTCAGTTGTGAACCTAAATTGATTGACAAGGGATGTGAAATTAACTAGAAAGGGAGTGTTGTTAGGAAAACTGAAAAGCCGATTGAGCACGTTGAATTATAAATAACGTTCATACAAACATAGGTCCGAGATGCTTGCTTGCCATAATACTGACAGTCACATTTTCATTTCTCGAAAACAGATTAAGATATTGAGACATGTACAAAATTGTTTTCTAAAGCACTTACACCAGTGTAATTTATGTCGACAAGTATTCTGGTTTTCATGAAAAATTATCACAAAAATATTGTAGGTATCTAGGCGTAGCATTAAGTGGGCATTTTTGGCCCGCGGCATGACGTTAAAGCCCGAAAAACCTATAGGTATGGTGTATCGGTAAAGTTCAAAAAATTCGTCGCTGTCAGATCCTAAGATGGTATTGATTTGATCCTGTGCAAGGGCGGAGTTAGATGGAAAGCAAAAGCGCATGCGCACACAAAAAAGACTGATCTTGGTACAAAAACAACTATCTTCAATTGAGGACCATGACTTCGGTACGTTTCTATCTTTGAGTCAAGGTCAATTCCTCAAATATAAGTGCTACGTTTCTTTAAAACAACGAAATTACCTCATTTGAAGTATTTGTGCTCTCGAATCAATAACATAAGTTCATAGAAAATCATGTAATAGCACCCTTTTTGTGTGTGCTCGTCTTACATGCCAAAATATGCCATTTGGTTCAAGAAAATGATATACAGAGTGTCCGCAAAGTTGGGGTTTTCCTTTACACGACGTGTAGATCTTGAAAACATAAGCAATTTTTCTTAGTACCATATACACCAATGTCTTAAGGGAACCGAGATAAAGGGCTCTGCAACATCAAAAATATCTGAATACCGTCCTGTAGCCGCGACCCGCGACATCACCGAGTGGTACAAGATCACTGGCTCAACCCGACGACAGAACTGGGTCGGAGTCAGTGTGTCAGGTCAGTATGCAACCTTCAACCGACGGTTACGGTCACGCATGTAGAGGTAATCGCGTAGACGAGAATCCCTCAACAAGCACTAGAGACGTGGCTAGAGAAGTGCAAGTATCAAAAACTAAAGTGTGGCAAACGCTGCGTGAAGAGGGGCTGTATCCGCTTCACGTCCAACATGTACAAGCCCTTCAACCTGACGATTTTCCAGCAAGAGTGCGGTTTTGTGAGTGGTTGTTGCATCAACATGACAATAATCCGGACTTTTTGAAGTGCATATTGGTGACAGACGAATCTACGTTCACGCGTAATGGGGTGAATAACTTTCGCAACACTCATGTTTGGTCAGTAGAAAATCCGCACGCTGTCCGTCGGGCACATTTTCAACAAACATTTTCGGTGAATGTTTGGGCTGGCATGGTGAACGGTATGCTCATTGGACCATCTATGCTCCCAAATCGATTGGACGGGATGCAATACCTAGACTTTTTACGCAACATTTTGCCTTCCTTGTTAGAAGATGTGCAATTAAGTGTAAGACAATCAATGTGGTTTCTGCACGATGGTGCACCGCCCCATTTTAGACGCGAAGTGCGTGAGTTTTTTAATGAATTATTTCCGAATAGGTGGATCGGACGTAATGGACCCGTAGCGTGGCCTCCGCGATCTCCAGACTTAACACCGTGTGATTTTTTTCTTTGGGGAGAAATGAAACGCTTAGTGTACAAAACTGAAGTGCATACGGTTGACGAACTTCGTCTCAGAATTGAACAAGCTGGTGCTTTCATTCGGGGGAGGGACTCCATTCTCAAAGCCTTCAGCGATGCTTGGCTACGTCGTGCACGCACCTGTGTTTTTGAATCAAACGGCGATAACTTCGAACAATACCTATAAAGTACGTTTACCTAAAAACTGAAAACGCGGCAACGCCGTCATATTTGTTACCTCTGTTCGTGGTCTGCACCACCGCCTGCGTCTGCTCGGTAGCGCATCAGCTGATTTCAGTTTCTGTTGGAGCGGTATGATTTCGGGCAGAGACGTACTTAGCCCTTCTCGTCAACTGGAGAGTGAGTACTTTTGCTTTTATTTTTTTTTAATTGGTCGCCCTGGTTTCACTACACATTACCTTTGTTATCTCAAGGGTAGTTGTTTCTGAAAAGGAAAACTCCAACTTTGCGGACACCCTGTATATCTATTGCTCTATCTCAGTACAAAATTTACCTTACTAGACCCGAATCGCGAGAAACCCCAATCTAGACTCCCCTCCCTCCCCGCTGTTGAATTCACGACCTATTTCGTCTTTACACACACGAGGCCAATCTCAGGTTCTCGGCTTGATAAGGGATAAGCTCAAACGCCCTCTACATGCCTGACCCTACCGAAATTTCTTTGACCGACAATTCGTGAGTGCCAAACAACCTTATTTTTGTCGAGAGATGCTCTTTAGGGTACCCAGAGCGCCAAAAATACGAAAAAGCTTTAGGGATAAAATTCCTGGTATCAATCTACCTCTCTTTTCAGCTCTACGTAAATTTACGTAGGTATATTAAGAATCATTCACCAAGTTATACAAGAATCATTTCACATCCGGCATTTAATCTGATACGTAATTAGTATGAGTCGAAAAGTCACCCGCTCACCTCATCCAAACATGAAAATCTATATTTGCCGACAACCGCAACCGCAACCAGCATAAAACCGGGCTCGTAACACGCCACATCTAATCCCCCCGCCTTGCTAATTACCGCCCGCACCCCGCTCGGCAGCGCTCGAAATCGCCCGGCTTTGTTCGCGTAATCGGCACCGTCATTATCAGTAATTAGGTCCCTGCTTACTACGCCCCTCGACGAATCACGAGCTAGAGCGGCGTCCAATAGGAGGCCTGACTCCGCCCATGTCTCGCACCCGACCATCTCGACGGCCGACGTCTCGCCAGTCACCGACGAGGATGCTGACGCGATCGTATCCTCTGCTCTAAGGCCCCTTAGGTCCTTTAGTCGGGATGTTTTAAGACCGTTTTGGCTAATTAGTATCGTAAAGTGCCCAGAATGACAATGCTCATGATGGATAGAGTGCCTCCGACTGGTTCGAGAAGCGATAACGAGCCTTGTTCTGAGGACGACGAAGAGTTACAGGTGGATGTTGAAGCGGAGGATACCTCGCTTTGCCCTGTGGACCTCACTAGAAGACAGCATTTCGACCTCACAGGTAACAATTTACAAATACCTGCAATAATAGAAAATTCCTTTTCCGTCGTTTTGCCATTAAAATCCCACCCGGCAAAGTTTAGAGCCCATTACTTCAACCTCTGTTTTTTGAGTAACCTTGATCGCTAACTTTTAAGTCTGCTAGTTAATAAGGCTTCAGAGAAAGTAAACAAATCTGCTGGAAGCGAAGCACAAGTCACTCCAAAAGTCATGTTGCTTTAAATATCTACCTATTTGAAACTGGAAGTTGGGCTCTTGGTAGTAGGTTCTTCTGTCTTTTGAGTTAGGGATTCCTCGGCATCGACACCTTGCCAGTCACTGACGAGGATGCTGACGCCACCGCATACCCTGCTCTAAGGCTCCTTTGGTCTTTCATACGGAATGTTTTAAGGCCCTTTTGGCAAATTGATGTTGTGAAGTGCCCAGAATTTACAAATACCTGCAATAATAGAAAATTCCATTTCCGTCGCTCTGACAACAAAATCCAACCCGGCAAAGTTTGAAGTCCATTACTGCAACCTCTGTTTTTTGAGTCTGCTAGCTAAGTAGTAAGGCTTTGGAGAAAATACGCATATCTGCTGGAAGCGCGGCACAAGTCACTTCAAAAGTCATGTTGCTTTGAATATTTGAATCTGGAAGCTGGGGGCTTGGTAGGGGGTTCTTCTACATCTTGAGTCTTGAGTCAGGGTTTCTAGTACCACCTGCCCTCGATCATCCTGACCATCGGCATCTTGACAGCCACCGACGAGAATGCATTCCCTGCTCTAAGGCTCCTCTAGGCAGAATGTTTTAAGGCCCTTTCGGATAATTGGTATCGTGAAGTGCCCAAAATGACAATGATCACGATGAAGTGTCTCCTGCTAATTCGTGAAGCAATAACAAGCCTTGTTCTGAGGACGACGAAGAATTGCCGGTGGATATTGAAGCGGAGGATACCCCGCCTGGACCTTACTAGGTGTCAGCATTTCGATGTCACAGGTAACAATTTAAATACCTGTAATTATGGACATTTCCTTTGCCGTCGCTCTGCCATCAAAAGTTCAACATCTCGTTTTTGGTCTTCTAGATAGTAAGGCGGTAGAAAAAGTTTTCGAGGTCGCTCAAAGTACCACGTTCCTTTAAAGATTTGAAACTGGGAGCTGGGCTCTTGGTAGTAAGTTCTATATGTTGAGTAAGGGTTCCTCAATTCCACCTGTTTACGATCATCCTGACCACCGAAGGCATCGACGAGGATGCTGACGTAATTGCATATTCATATATAAGGCCCACTTGGTCAGTCAGTCAGAATGATCGTAGTCCAATGGTATCGTATCGTGAAGTGCCCGGAATGGCAATGCTCATGATGAATAGAGTACAATCTGCCGATTTCAAAAGCGACAACGAGCCTTGCTCCAAGGATGATGATGAGGTGTTGCAGTTGGGTATTGAGGAGGAGGATACGTCGCCTCCAGACCTTGGGGAGGCATTACAACATCGCAGCTAAGAATTTCAAGAACCATTTTCCGATATTAAAGTCAAATCTAGAAACATTTGAAGCTTTTTTTTTATATCGAAACAACCGCGCAGGCCAAAGCCTAAATGCCGGAACACCGCGGCTGCTATTAAGCTGCGGCTGCTGATTATTAAGATCTCCATCTTCTGGGTGCTCTTGGTCCCCACTTTTTTATCTGCTAGTTAATAAAGCTATGGAGAGGACGAGCGTATTTGCAGGACACAAAGGATGGGTTGCTCAAAAGCCAAAATTTTTTAAAGAATTGACACTGCCAGATGGACTGAAATGACTAGCTAATGCCGTGAGTTTGGGCTTCCCAATACCACCTGTACCCAATCATCTTTAGCTCTAGGGCCCCTTTGGACTATCATTCTGCTGAATGTTCTATGACCCTTTTGGAGCCGTGAATGACAATAGTTATGATGTATAAAGTGTTATGATTATGTTAATAAAACCCGGCCGGAAAGTCTCTAGATCCCGTTACTTTGCGGGCCCTATTGATATTACCCCTGAGTCTGCTAAGTAAAAGGGCTATGAAAAGGTTAAGCTGGTCGAAGAAGTGCGAAGTATGGGGGCTACCAAACTCGGTCATGGGTCTGGTAATCTAGGTACCCCAACATCAACTAACTGTTTTTGACATAACTACCAAACCTGTTTAATATTTGCCTAATAAAGGCTACTTTTACGCCTTTCTAATGAAATCCTTGTATGGGGCATGGGGTTTGATTTTTGGTCTTAGGCCTTGGTCGCTACCTAAAAAAAGTTTTTAAAACGGTATCGTAAAACTACTAGTTATAATTCGAAATTACGTTTTCTTAGAGCTTTTAGACTCCAAATTGAAGTAGATAGAGTTAAATTTTAGCCAAGGTAGCAACGGTGGCGTAGTGATAGACGTTATGGGTCTACTAATCAGTCGCCGCGGGCTGCGCGGGTTCGAATCCCGTCCCAAGAGAATTTTTCTTTTGGCTATGGATGTTATCATTTTCCGTAGGTGGTAGACGGTCTCTGACTGTAGAACGTGGAGGTACCACCCGGCGGATCTCTAATACGGGACCAGAATGTGCGCATGTTTGATGCATACGTGTGTCGCTAGAGTCCGTGTGGCGTCCCCCTTATTTCCCCTGTATCCCCCTATAGCCCCACGTTACCCATGGGGATCTACGATAGGAATTCTCTAGTACAAACAACACTGGATAAAAACAATTTGCGTCGGTCTAGTGTGCGGGCTATGCATCATGAAATAGGGCTCAGATCACAAGCTTTGATGGCGTCGTACGATCTCAGAACACATTTGATGGTCTCGATGACATCGAGGAAGGCGTCTCGGTCCATTTCAGCATCAATCGCACATCTTTATTTTACTATATCTGGCACACTCATTTTTGAGCGTCAAGTCATAATTCAAGAACTGAGTTTCATGTGAGTCAAAATTACTATCGAACAGATACAGTACGAATACCTGGACAGCTACTCCCTGATACCCTTTTCTGCAGTCGAAGCGTTCTGGAAGATTACAGATTGAAAATTTGGCTGTTTCTATTAATATTGGTTAGATGGATCAACACTATTTATCAACTCCATCAGAATTCGTCTTTGTATATTAAGATCAGCATAACTTCATTTCAGGTCACCAACCATGCGAGGAAGACCCTCTTCGGAGGTCGGACGACCTCCACCATCACCACCACCACGAAGACCTGGAACCATCGCCCAGCCTCAGGCAACACTCAGGCGACTTGGACTTTCCCAGGCGGCCTACGAGTACCTCCAGACACTTACCAGATAGTGACAATAGGCACCAAGAACACCTGTCGGACAGTGATCTAGTGGAACGGGGAAACGGGGAAGACTGTACCAGTGACGATGTTTGTAGTGATAGGTCGAGGAGTCCCAAGGACTGCAACAGCAATTCCTCGTCGGGTAGGAGGCTGGCCTTCAGTGTCGAGAACATTTTAGACCCCAACAAGTTCACCAGTAGTAAATCTGTTTTCGGTGGGGGGAATGGACTGTGTTATTGGAAACCGGTGAATGCGGACCATTCGGCGGGGTTCAGGACGTCGCCTGCTGATTTTGAAGACAACGATGCTTCAGGTTAGTACGAAACGCAGAAAGCATGTAGTTTAAATGAATAACATGACAAAAATTCAGAATTGCAAAGAAGTCGTGATACTTTTTGAAAAATGACAAATATAAAATATAATATAGTATGATTAAGGCATATGTTAGTAAACGGACTGGATACAATCATACCCCACGTAATTGATTGATCTACTAACAAAATCGTGCGAAGTCAAAGTCTCTTTTTTTAATATCGATTATTATACCATCAAAGTAGGAAGCTGTCACGCAATCTACCACATCTTCAACCCTTATGCACTTATTGTAGCTCAGTGGCGAAGCGTCCATGTAACCATTGTTACCATTGGTAACAGTTAAAAATCTTAAAAATAAATATTTTATTTCTAAGTACTGTGAAATAAGTTTATTTGTTTACCAACAGCGATATGTAATAGTAATTCAGTAAATAGCAAATTAGCCCCACGAATTTAATGCGCCCTATAGTGTCTAGGTTTTGTGAAACGATGAAGCTGACTCGCCTGGACTTGGTTGTCGGTTGTTACCATTTTCGTTTATGGATACACTTGGTAGTCCGTCGGGGACCGTCGGTACCGGCTCGTGTCTTATCGCGGTCGCCCGAGTGCGTGGGACGCTGCGACTATTATGTGGGCTTGTTACCATTTTTGATTTGATTACTCACTTCTCACTCGTTAGTAGCTGTTTTGGTTACCGGCTGTAGTGTGCGTGCAATTAAACATGGATGAGTGTCGCTGCATAATCGATCAACTCCCTACTTGACAAGTCTCCTTGTATAATTTTTAAGAAAAAAAGGAGATCATTGAAAATGGAAGACCAACACCTATTTTAGATAATTTTAAAAAGAAATAGAAAAACGTAGTTTGATATTTTAAATTAAGTTGGTATATGGAAACTCTTGGTTAGGTGGTTGCAAAAGAACAAATTGTATTGTTGGCGATGTCTTCTGTTTTATACATAAAAAAAATGGGTGGACCAGCAGCGGGGTCAACGATTTAAATAGTTTTAGGCCTCTAAATAGGAGACATGAAATTTCTCCGTTGCATGTGAGATGTGTAGCCAAGTTAACTCAATTTGGCAAAATAAGAATCGAAAGTTGTTTTAACCAAGCTTTTAGGCAGCACACTTCTAGATACCGTATGTTTTTTGGCAAAACAGGAATTACCGTTCATTTTGAAAGGGATGACTCTGACAATAGAGGAAATTACAGGGAATTGTTAACATTCATTGCCAGAAAAGATCAAAAATTTTCCTAACATCTAGAAACGTCGACTGTTTTTTCGGACAGCTTGGATTAGTCATAGCTAAGACGATGAGGTATATCAAGTGCCCCAGAAGCTCTGTCCAGGAATGTTTACCTTAATTTAAAAATAGTTTAAATAACATACCTAAAATAAGCAAAAACTTATATTTGGGAGGTTCTAAATAAACTTTTTTGATAAGATTTTTCACATCTGGTTTTGGTAACACTTTAGGAAAAGTCACGCGTCACCACTGTTGTACTTTCTCATTTACAACACTAAAACCAAATCTAGTTCTTTAGTCAGACCCCATAGCCCCGACACAGACCAAAGCAGACGGCGCTCCATGTTTAATAATAATAATACAAGATATTTATTGGGAAACAAATGTACACCAGATCTTATTCCTTAGAGGCGAAGTCTAGATAAATCTATTTCACTCATCCTACAATAACAATATCATCAACTAAGAGGAATAGAATATATTAACATATAAACATTGGGACACATTCAAAAATTCTATAAATATATATGAAAGACAAAAAAATACTATGAAATTAAACCACAATGAATGGATTAAAAGCGGCTTGTTTTTTCATACCACCGACAGAGTTTTAAAAAGTCCACTTGCACCGTTATATATTTTGAAGAAGTTGTAAATAAACGACAGACGAAAAAAAGTACTGGAATGAGGGATTTCTAGGCGATTCTTAAATCTGAAATTAAAATCCGTCCTTCGACGGCGAGCTACAAAATTTTTTATAAAGATAAACAGGAGATTGTGTAGTTGATATTTTGAGTCAAAGTAAGCACTTGATACTTGTAAGCATTGTCCATACATAAATAACCCAGATCACTAATATAACATGGAATATGATCATATTTCTTTGAACTAAAAACAACTGCCTTGCAGTCTTCGCATCCTGATGTTAGCGGCACCACCGAGACACGAGTAATAAACTGCACCCCAGTAAGAGAGATTAGATAACTATCTGGAACCTTATCATTTTCTACCTTTTCAAGCCTCAATCAAGTAAATCCAAGACACAAGTGCGCTGGGATCGTTAAATCCTCTACATATAGCTGCGGTGTTTACCTCGCCAAGCTCAAGAGCCTGTTATTGAGGTTTATACTCCAAGCAAGTTATGTCAAGTATATCATTTTTTGCCAAAATTAAAGGTTAAAGAGACTATATACAGGGTGTCCCGAAAAAGTGTGCTATATTCTACCAGCGGTTTCTACAGCTTAAAATAGGAAGAAAAGATTATATAAACATAGGTCGACAAACGTCCCCTAAGGTCGCTACGGTCTTTCAAAGGGGCTCTCCTGAAGATGGTTTTTCCTTAATATTTCCGAAACGTGTTGAGATCAAGACAGAAAATTTAGTATCCTAGCCTAGTTTTTTATGCTGGATTTAAAAATATTAACAGTTTTGTTTGGAAGCGTATGTAACAGGGACGGACTCAGGTTATTTTAGCCCAAAAATTTTCGTGATTCTATTTTTGAAATTCAATTTTGGAATTTGAAAATTTAGGATTTTCTACATAAAAAAGGTACTCTTATTGAATATCGATAAATTGTGCCATTTTTGAATAAAATCAAACTAAAAAATTGATATGTACTGCGAATTTAAATGAATTGTTGATTATACATAGTTAGCCATGACTGCAAACAAAAGTTGTTTTGATTTGTTATGACTTATTTTACGTTAAGCTGACATTGTTAGCAGTGTAAAATTACTAGATTAAAATCAAAATTTTTATTAAATCGATTTAAAATGCCAAGATTTACAGACAGAGAACTGACTGACATGCATTTTGTGTCCGGGTTTTGCAATGGCAGTTGATTAGCAGCCGGAAGAGAATATCAAAGAAGATTTTCCAATCGCATGGTACCTGGCGTCGAATTTTTACTGATATTCATCGGAATTTGTCAAACCATGGAAGTTTTCAGCGCATGCAGGGCTCAGGAAGGCCACTGAAAAATCATCGTATGGATATTGCTTTAAATATGTTTGAAAATAATCAGCAAATAAGCATACGAAATGTTTCAGAAATTATGGATACACCTCGATCAATAGTAAGAAAAATTTATGAATACCTATTTGATAGTTATCCTAAAAATAATAATTTTAGATAGGATGAATGACAAGAATGCAAGGATTACATCCTTATCATTTTAAACTGGTGCAGCATGTAACGGAGGCAGATTTTTTACCACGAATCGAGTTTTTCCAGTGGATATTAGCAAATGAAAACACTATTCCTAGAATATTATGGTCGGATAAGTCAATATTTACTGGAAAGAGTGCTTTTAATGTCCATAACATGCATCACTGATCAGATGAAAATCCATAAGTTGTTCGCCGTACAAATTTCCAACATAGATTTTCATTGAACTTATGGGCAGGAGTAATTGGGAATCAAGTAATTGCATTTCCCAATCGTCTTAATTCAGAGGTGTATCTAAACTTTCTTCAGAATGAGCTCATGGATATAATACCATTTTATGTGCGCCAGCAGTTCCAAGAAAATATGTTTTATCATCATGATGGCGCCCCCCTGCACATTTTGGACACAATGTTCGAAATTGGTTGAATGTCAATTTTCCAGACAGGTGGTTAGGCCGAGGAGGTCCTATAGCGTGGCCGCCACGTTCACCTGACCTAAATCCATTGGATTTCTATTTTTGGGGGTCATTAAAAGACCTAGTTTACTCGACTGAAGTAAATACTCAAGAAGATTTACTTCAAAGAATCCATCAGGCTGCAAATGAAATAAGAAGAAAACGGTTTTCCACTTTTCGGGCTACGCAATCGTTAGTTCGTCGAGCGAGACTCTTTATCCAACAAAATGGGAATTTATTTGAACACTTATTGTAAAGCTAGTTTTAAGTAGTATATCCAACTGTATGACTTCTTTTTTAAACAAATTTCAATTTCGTTCGTATAAAAAATTTATTTCTTTTGTTTTTGCCTAAATGTTAGCACTGTTGCAGTAGAAATATGTATTTATGTAATATTTACCAATTATTAAATTATTTTTTTCGTTGCCATGGCTAATTATTCAACATTTCATTTAAATTCGCAGTACATTTCCTATCATGTGACAAATTCTTTAGTTTGATTTTATTCAAAAATGGCAAAATGTATCGACATTCAATAAGAGTACCTTTTTATGTAGAAAACCTTAAATTTTCAAATTCTAAAATTGAATTTCAAAAATAGAATCACACAAAAATTTTGGGGCTGAAATAACCTGAGTCCGTCCCTGTTACATACGCTTCCAAACAAAACTGTCTAAAATTGTTAATATTTTTAAATCCAGCATAAAAACTAAGCTAGAATACCAAATTTTATGTCTTTATCTCAACACGTTTCGGAAATATTACCGTAGCGTCCTTAGGGGACGTTTGTCGAGCTATGTTTATATAAACTTTTCTTCCTATTTTAAGCTCTAGAAACCGCTGGTAGAATATTGCACACTTTTTTCGGGACAACCTGTATAGCAAAATAAAACAAAAATACGATGGTTCAAAAAACAATGGTCAAAAATGACAAAGAAAGCAGTATTCCGCTCGTATTTTTCAAACTGGCCTATATACAAAAAAATGTTTCGTGTAAAAGGTATGTAGCTTTTTGTAAAAGATAATCTGAGAACGCTGCTGTCAATCGATAGATTAACAGAAAGGTAATTGCAAAAAACAATGAATCGGGTCATTCTCAAATTTGCTAATATCTACTTAACACATATCGAT